GTCCCTTTTGCACGGGCGTCTCCTGATGCTGGTGCCCCTGGAGCAGGATTTCTCCCCCTAGGGAGGGCAGTGCCAGCTGGGAAGGGGGCTTTGGGGCAGAGGCTGCAGCCTGCTTCCCGCAGCGGGCGCTGGAGCTGGAGCTGGCGCAGCCGGGGTGGCCTGCAGGCAGGGGACGGGGTGTCCTGGGGGTGCAAGCCAGGCCCCAGGGCACCCTCCCCACCCCAGCTGCGTGGCATGGTGCCCAAGCTGGGCTGTGCTGGCTGAGGAGCCGGCAGCAAAGCAGTTAAACCGAGCTTGTCGTCTCCCTCTTAGGGCTCCGCTCCGAACTGCAGCTTGAGTCAGCGGCTGTGGAGGTGGCAGGCGGTGCGGATGCCAGGGCTGGCCACGCGTGGGTCCGGCACACGGCGGAGGGCAGCGGTGCCCGCACCGGGACAGGTGAGAGCTGGCACCCTCCGGGCAGGGGGGAGGCAGGGCTGGGGGTGATCCCACCTGCCAAGGGGGTGGCAAAGACAGCCGGGTGGTTGCCAGGGGCTGCCAGGGGTGAGCTGTGGCAGGCACCACATGCCAGGGCACCTGCACGACTCACCTGGCAAACTTTCTCTGCAGCCGCTGCCCCCTCCCTTGGCCCAAGCAGCGGCCCCTGGTTTGGGGAGATGCTGGCAGCCAGGAGATGGCACCGTGGGCACCCACAGGGTGGGTGCATGCATGTGCGTGTGCAAGAGCACATGTGCCCCCAGGGCAGGACCCTGCAGGCAGCGCCCGGGGGCACATCCCCGAGGCTGGAGACACCCCTCTCCCAACCCCAGCAAGGGGGTGCAGCCTTTAATGGCCCAGCTGGCAGCCCCGGGCGTGTGCCAGGCACTGGGGTGAGAGGAGGGTGGCAGGAAGAGCGTGGCGGGAGCCAGCTCTGGGCTCCCCCCAGCACCGGCATGGCTCTCTGGGGCTGGCGGGCAGAGCTGCTGGCTGGGATCCTGCTCAGCCCACCCGGGCACCCCAGCCCTGGCCACTGCTTCGCCCAGTGGGAAGCGGGTGAGTGCAGCCGGAGCGGTTCCTGGCTGGGGTGAAGTGGGGGCAGCATCCAGCCCTTCCCTGCGAGGGGGTGTTATCCCGGCCGAGGAGCCAGGTCCCCTCCCTGCAGCTGGGTTGCTGCCCCAGGTCCGTGCCCAGCCCTGCCTGGCTCGGGGCCCGGGGCCAGCCCGGCGGCACGCGGCTGCATCGTGGCCTCCCCCAACGCTGCTCTGCTTCGTGCAGCCCCTGCCCTGGCAGCCGGGCTGGAGCCGAAGCCGGCGATGGGGAGCCCCCCGACCTGCTCCGTGCACAGCCAGGTGCCGGATCTGCCTCCCGCAGGGCGCCCAGGTCACGGCCATCAGCGCCCCGCTGCTACCGCAGCCCCCAGCACCCTCGCTCCCGGCCCCGGGCTCCTCCTGGAGCTACGCGGGGTGTGAGCAGGGTGCCCGGCACTGCTTTCCCAGAGCCCTGCGCACAAGAACCAGCCCGTCTCCACTTGGGACCCTTGCAGGTGACCGCAGGCGCCCAGCACTGGAGCCCGCTCTGAGCCCGCTGCCCTCCAGCCAGTGTCCCTTCCTGCAGCCCCCCCAAACGCTGCGGCCTCCCTGCCCCGCCGGCGGGCGCCGCAACCATCCCAGGGCAGGAGACAAGAGGCAGGCAGAGGGCACGGGGCTGCCAGGCGCCGAGGGGGCGTGCGGGCTGTGGCGGAGCTGCCTGTCAAGGGTGGCCAACGAATCCTGGCTCGTCCCTTTCCAAGGGGGGAAAAAGACCGTGCTCATAAGCCCCTAATTGGCTTGGTTGGCAGGTGGCGCCGGAGCTGGTGACAGCGCCCACCGCATGATGCGTGCTCCCTGGAGGCACCACTGACCACCAGCCGCCTGCAGCCCGGACACACCGCTGCCCGCTTCGTCTCGGCCATCGCCCGCCTGCCAAGGCTGCTCCGGTCCCTGCCGTCTGCCTGCACGAAGCCCTCGGCCTCGCACCAGGATGACGGAGATCCAGGACCTGGCGTCGCAGGCCTCACTGGGCGTGGTGTCGGCCACCTGCGTCTCCAAGGTGGAGCTGCGGGTCAGCTGCAAGCACCTGCTGGACCGCGACACCCTCAACAAGTCCGACCCCTGCGTCGTGCTGCTCATGCAGTCCCAGGGCCAGTGGATGGAGGTAGGCGTGCGGCACAGGGGTGGCAGTGGCGGAGGCTCATTGCAGGGCAGGGGCCGATGCACCTTGGTCCCCCCCTCTGTGCATGGGAGATGGGGACGTTTCAGCACGGTGGAGACAGCCTGGCGGGGCGGATGCCCGTGCGTGCACGTTTCTGCACGGGGTCTCCGGGGTGCCCGGCGTGGGCATCCTTCGTTCTGCAGCCGGCTGGACCAGGCGGCTGCCGGAGGGGTGCCTGGGGGCTGCGAGGGGCGGTGGAGGGCAGAGCAGGGGCCGTGGGCTGGGGCAGAGGCCGGGCAGGAGACAAAGCCCTGCTACCCCTGGCGCACTCTGCCCCAGGTCCACCCTTTATTGCGCACGCTGGGGCAGGCGTCGCCCGGTGCCACGCGTCCTACACGGCTGTTCCCGGTGCCCCGTCCAGGGACGTGCCCATGTGCGCTGGGTCCCGGGCCCCCTCCCTGCTAGGCAGACCCCAGCCCCACTCCCCCACCCCCTGCCCGGCTCGGGTCCATGGCCCCCCTGCCGCACCCTGCGGATTATTTGCAGCTCCTCCAAGCCGGCTCGTTAATCCCCAGGGCTCAGCACCTAATCCCTGCCCCGGGTAATCGACTCCCGGCTGGGGAGGGGGCTGGCACCTGCCGGGGAGCTTGTTCTGGGCCAGGTTTCGGGTGCTGGGGGTGGGGGGAGCCGATTGTGGGGACAGTTGAGCCCCTCCGGCCTTTACCGATGGCTCCATAAGGCCGTCCCTGCTCCGTGCCTCAGTTTCCCCCGCGGCTGCCAACCTCCCTGGACACCCTGGGCCGGTGGTGGGTGACAGCAGAGGCAGGGCCGGCTCTGCTCTCCTGGGGGCCCTAGGCATGGGGCGGGGGGCTGCTGGCGGGGCGCCCTCCCCAGGAAACCGTCCTGTTGACTCAGAGCTGGCAGGGAACATGTGGTGTGTGGGAGGCCGCTCCGTTCCTGGAAGCTGCCGCGCCTGCTGCCAGCACGGCTCCGCGTGCGAAAACAGCGCGCTGTGCCCTTGCTGCTGCGGGCGGGCACCGGGGTGCCAGCCAGCCCCCCCCGCCCCGGCTTCCCCTGGCACCGCTGAGCCCTCCTGCCTGGGGGGAGCCGTGGCCCGCAGGCTGCTCGTGCCCCCACGGCACGTGGCGGCATCCCCTGCCCAGTGCTGTGATGGGCACGGCGTGGCCACCTGCCTGGCTCTGACACGGAGCCGGCCTGCTCGGCTCAGGCTCACGGTGCTCGCTGGCGCTTCGCAGGGCTCTGCCAGGAGCCAGGGGCAAGGCTGCCTTGGGGGGAGCAGCCAGGGGGGAGGAGGATGCTTTCCTCTGCAAGGGCAGGTGGCCGGTGCCAGGCTCAGGCCCTCGGCGTGGCTCCCCGGCTCTCCTGCATGGACTGCCGATTTCACGCCCAGCTGGTTCTTCCGCTCCAGCGGTTCCAAGTTGGCGTTCCCAGCTGCGCGCCGCGGTGGCCTCCCGGGGAGGCCAGTTTGCTCCCTCGGGCCCTCGCGGGTGACCCCAGGGCTGCGCATGGTCCTGCCTGGCTGCGCTGGTGCGGGCGCCCCGGCCCCAGGCTGCACACACCCACCCGCGGGCGCTGGGCCGGGGGGCAGGGAGCCATGTAGAGTGAGCCAAGCTGAGCTGGCGCAGTGGCTTATCAGCGGTAATGTGTTCGGCCGCGATATCATTATCCCCTCTCCCTAAATCCGCTGCCTGCGTGGAGCCGGGAGGAGAGCGGGTGCACGCAGCTGCCAGGCAGCTCCGGTCTGCAAGGACCGCGGCGTCCCCGGTCCCCTGCTGCCTTCACCCCGGGCACATGGCTCTGAGCAGGGGGCGGCCGGCTACAGGCCTGGGAGCCTGGCGCAGACACGCCAAGGGCGCAGGGACGGCGCGAGGGATGCAGGAGCCGGAGGCTGATGGCTGCAGCAGAAGGACGTGAGGACACGGCGAGGGGCACGGGGCCAAGGCGGAGCGCTGCCCCGCTTCGGCTGGCAGCAGCCAGTCTGAGCTCCCGCAGCCCCTCGGGGCCGCTCTGCCTTGTGCCACGGCCGGAGAGCTGACGCTGCATCTCCGCCGCCGGCCTCGCCTGCGGGATGCGTCTGCGCCGGGGGAGCGATCCGGGAGGTGCCCCCAGCGCCCTTCGGGTCGCTAATGGCTTCTTGCTGCCTGCCAAGAGCTCTGCCTAATGGTGCTCTTTCCTGGCCAGCCCGGGCGAGCGTGGCGGGGAGCCAGCGCTCCCACCGCGGCTGCAGCCAGGCGGGAGGTGGATTCACCCCGGTGGAGGCCAAGGGCTGAGATGCCCCCATCTCCTCTGCCCAGGATCCGGGAGGATGCACACTGGCACTGTGGGGGCCGGGTGGGTCAGCTCCCCGATTTGCTGCTGTTGCTGCTATCCATGGTGTGAAAGCAACATGTCATAGGCCCTGTACTGCCTGAGAACGGTCTCCTTAACCTTTAGCGTTTGGAGCAGGACGGGATGAGTCCTGCTCCTGCCCCGGGAGAGCTGCAAGGGGCCGTAGTGCCCAGCGGGCGCTGTGTAGGACTTCCCCTTCGCTGCACTCGAGATGCCGGAGATGCGGCTGCTCCTCCGGCAGACCGTTCTTGCAGCCGATTAACAGCTCTCCGTCCGTTAAGGGGAGGAGAGGCTTTTGGAGGTCTCGTGGGAGAAGCACGCTGGCCTGAAGCCGGCAGCTTGGTGCCAGGTGCTGTGCCGGCAGCGCGGCCGTTGCATCTATGCCCTGGTCCATGCCACACTCGGCACCGTGCCCCGTGGTGAGGTGCATCTGCTTGGGCTCCACGCCACAATCCCCTTCCTTAACTTGCTGATGGAGGGGTCTCTGCACACGGCCATGCAGCCTCCTGCCTACCCAGGGGGGAACAGGGTGCCCGGACCCAAGCATCAGTGCCACCCTGCCGGAGCCAGGCAGCAAGGACTGGGCATCACTGGCACCCAGGCAAGACCAGGAGAGCTTTCCCGGCCCATTTGACTTGGCAGTAACCCAGGACTCTGATCTGCAGCCCGTTCCCGGGCACTGGCCGCACTGCCCAGCCCGGTGCACAGCGACCCCACGGCTTGGGTCACAGCCACAATCCTGCAGTCAGTGCCCAGAGCAAGGCGCTGGCACACAAGGTGCCTTTCAGTCCCTGTAGGCTGCAGCAGCGGGTGCTGGGGCATCGGGGCCATGTCCCTCCAGATGGGCAGCTCCCGGCGAGGTGTCAGGCTCCCCCCAGGTCCCACTCTCCGGACGTGGGCCACCCTCCTGCTCCCGGGATGGGGACTCCTCCGGCCCTGCTGCGGCTGCCAGGGTGCAGCATCCCCGGGAGACCATCGTCGTGCCAGGCTGGTGGGTGCAGGCCCTGAGTGCCCCCGCATTGCAGGTGGACCGCAGCGAGGTGATGAAGAGCAACCTCAACCCCGTCTTCTCCAAGATCTTCATGGTGGACTACTACTTCGAGGAGGTGCAGAAGCTGCGCTTCGAGGTCTACGACAGCCACGGCCACGCCAGCATCGGCACCCATGATGATGACTTCCTGGGGGGCATGGAGTGCACCGTGGGCCAGGTAACCCCCGTCCTGCTGGGCCACCGTTGGCACGACCGTGCCCTGCGGCGGGATTCAGGCTGCTGCCTCTCCCGGGGAATCGTTTCCCGGGGCATCGTGTCCTCCCTGCAGTGGTGGAAGTGATCATTTAAACACTCTCCCTTCCTTAGTAGGCTACAGAGGTTGGGAATTGAGAGACCCTCCCTCAAGGGAGGTGGACAGACAAAGGGTCTGCAGAGGTTGCCCACCGCTCTGTAATAGTGACTTGTTTAGTTCGTCTTCTCATCCGTATGCTCCTGCATGGATGGACACCCGTGACCCCTGCCTGGGCCGACCTGCCCCATGCTGCCTCACACCCGCGCTTTCCCTTGCAGATTGTGGCTCAGAAGCGCGTGACCAAGCCACTGTTCCTCAAGTACGGGAAGTACGCCGGCAAGTCCACCATCACGGTGCGTGCCCAGCTCTGCCCTGCGCCCAGTGTCCACCTGCCCGTCTCCCGGCCCCCTGCACACAGCCAGCCCCTGCCAGCCCCCAGGCCGCGGGGATTCCCATGGGATCTCCAAGGGATCCTTGCAGCAGGCTGGGAACATACCAGCAACATGTGTGCCCTGCAGCTTCCCGTGCCCTGCTGCACACGGTACCCGGCACGTGCAGTACCCACCTTGCATGGGTGCCCTCGTCTCCCTGCAGGTGCTCTCCGAGGAGATTTCTGGCAACAACGGCTACGTGGAGCTCGCTTTCCGGGCCAAGAAGCTGGACGACAAAGTGAGCGCGGCCGGGCCCCGGGGCTGCCCCAGCTCAGCCCGCGGGGGGAGGCGTGTTTCAGGAGTGGGCACAAGCGTGTCCTGGCCCCTGCACCCCAGGATCGGGGCCTTGCTGGGCCTCGGGGGAGGCCGTGTCCCCAGTGCCGGGGCCCAGAGCTGCATCCTCGTGCGGGTCTGGGCCAGCGCCACGTGGGATCTGCCCGGCAGCATGGAGTAAACCCAGAGCCCTTCACCCCCTCTTGCCTCTCCCGCAGGACCTATTCAGCAAGTCGGATCCCTTCCTGGAGATCTACCGGATCAACGACGACCGCAGCGAGCAGCTGGTGTACCGCACGGAGGTGAGGCCTGGCCCTGGCATGGGACCCAGGTGTGGGGCGTCTCCAGGGGTAGCCCCCGGGGCTGGGAGCTGCAGACTGTTGCTTTGGGGGGCCAGGAAGGAGCCGGCACCCTGCTCCCCCCCAATCTCCTCCTCCTCCAGTGCCAAGGCTCATGCCCCCTGCCCGCATCAGGGCCCTCGCGGGCTGCAAGGGAGGGGGCTCGGCGGCTGAGCAGCTGGCAGCCCCCCGCTGCTCTCCAGGCAGTCATCACTCTGCACCTGTCGGGGGTCTAGGAGCATTAGGTGCTCGGTGGAGCAATTACCCCGTCAGGCGCTGTCAGCTCCTCGCTCAGGCTGTCCGCCTCTGCCTGCCGCCTGGGGCGGGCGCGGGGGCGGCGGGCTCCTGGGGGGGCTGCAGGTCCCTGGGGGGGGGCTGCACATGGTGCCTCCATCCCTCCGGGAGAGAGGCGTGGTGGGGCGCGGGGTTGCCCTGACGTGGGCTGACCCCTTCCTGGGGCTCTCCTTGCCCCCGCAGGTGGTGAAGAACAACCTGAGCCCCGTGTGGGAGCCCTTCAAGGTCTCGCTGAACTCGCTGTGCAGCTGCGAGGACAAGAGGAGGCTGCGGGTGAGCGCGCATGGGGGCCTGGGGTCTACGAGCTGCCCCGCTGTGTCCAGCCCAGGCCCCGGTGCAGCCACCTCTTGCTGTCCCTGCAGTGCGTGGTCTGGGACTACGACACCCGGGGCAAGC